TCTCGCTTTTCTTACGGGCTAAGCTCTGCCCTTCAATTCGCAAGACTGAGCTCTGTCTTGTCTGCATCATGCTATTGCATCCTCCATGGGCTGAAATATCGCCAACTCATCCAAAGGCGCCATCACTCGGAGGCACCATCTTCATAGCCCGAGAACACCATGTCATGGCCTGAGGATCTCTTTCAATCTTTTGCATATCATTATTCAAAGGCGTCATGGTTCGGAGGCACCATCCTCATAGCATGAGAACATCACTTCATGGCCTGCTAATCCTGCACAAAACAACCCATGGCCCAGGACATCATGGTCTAAGGATGCCATTCCTAACCGTCCAAAGACAACATTCATGGTCCAACGGGAATTTGCATCATATTCAAATTATGCAATAAATGCTTGTATCATTTCTTTGCAAGTAACCCAGTGAGCAACGACTGGCCCAGCAAGAGCGATCCCGCTCCAGTTTTCCCCAGCCATATCAAACCTCACCATTCCCGTAAACTGTTCACTCACTCGGCCCTAGATGTTGCGTCCGCTCTTGTAAAACCTCACCGGTATACTTCGCCGATAACTCCTGAACTACATATGGACTGATTCCTGTAAAACTAGGGATATGTAGGTAGCTCAGAAGCCAGGGTGCGGCCTAATCTCTCAAACCGTTTCGCTCGGTCAAAATTGGCCATCATTTCTTTACCCGAAAATTCTTTCATCCTTCCCAGGTAAAGAGGGGCAGCGGTTGATACCCAATTTTTCCCTATATATTTTAAATCTGTAAAAATACCTTCGAAATAGCATATATATGCATATATAAGCATGCACAAGTTTTTATTATTTTTCCATAATTTTAAGGGCTTAAATTGATTTATTTTCCCCCTTTTTATCCATAAAACCCCAATAATTTTTTTCCAAATTATTGTTATATGATTTATTCATTTAATCTCTATACTTATGCCAAAATATGGTTAATGTATTTTTCATGCATTTTTATAATTACATTTAGTATTTTTTAAGCTAAATTGCATATAATTGCAATGTTAGCCCTTTTAATGTATAATTATATTTTTATATGCATAAAATTGGTCCCTATATTTTTAAAATGTTAATTATATATGTTAAATCATTTTGGAACATTAAATTATTTTCCAGTAATTGCTTATTATTTATTATAAATTAAA